TTCCCTTTGAACTTGTCCCCTAACTCCCATCAACATCCCGAATTCTGTGTTCATTATCGCTGTTATTTATGGAGCAGATATACTGCACATTATGCAGACATAAATAAAACAGCATTTAACTTTGTGAGTTTTGTGAAAATACTGGCACACTAATCTAGCGATGGAATTTTTCACTCAAAATGATAGTTCTAATATTAATGGTGTTTCCTATAGAATGGATAACTCATATTTATAACTGAATAATATTCTGAATATGTCAGAGTTAACTCAGTCATCTTTTGTACCCATTCGGCTGCTGACAAGCAAAGGGAAGTTTCTCTGTATGCAATGGTTACAGCCTGTGATGGAAGAAATGTCAGAGAGAGAGAGAGAGAGAGAGAGAGAGAGAGAGAGAGAGAGAGAGACAGCAAGAGATAGAGAGACAGAGACAGAAAGGGAGGGAGAGAGACAATTACAAAGCAAAAAAAGAACCAGATAGTTCTTTTCTCTGAATATTTCTTTCTTATTGTTGCTATAACCATTACAACAAACATACGTGGTGGCTTAAAACAAATTATTGAGGACTGGAACTCTGTCAGGCACCTTTCTGGTTGCATTCCTGACAGAGCTCTTGGGTGACATCTTTCCCTTCACTTTTCCCTACATTGCGGGGCTCCTGGCTGTCTTTCACCCCACACAGTCAGCAGTGGCATCGCTGTAGCCTTGTCTGTGTTCTGCTGACTCCCTCTGCGTTGTGAGGACATTGGTCACACCAGAAAGACCCTTTGCAGAACACAGTCTGGAGGTGAGGACGTGGACTTCTGTGGGGCATCTCATTCTGCCTGTCTTCCGTGGGTATCTTTAGGACACTTGCACCAAACACCCAGAGGTCTGATGTCATTGCTTTGTTTGTCTGTTTGTGTCCTGGACTGCCTGAAGAGTCACTTTCAAAGTCACGTGCAATCTGACTTAATTCAGCTCTGCAGGGAATCTTGGTGTGTAATAGGAACAGCTCGAGCCTCCTGATGTTTCACAGCTCTTGGACGCTCACTTCTCAAGCACATTTAGAACCACTTCATAAATTAATCCAGCATGGTGATTGTGATTAGAATTGCATCAGACACACACATGGAGCTGACGAACATAGACGTCATTGAGGTGTTAACATCACCTGCTCCCAATTTATTCATATCTGTGCCATAATATTGTATTTCATATATATCCTCCAAAGATTTTGGACATACATGGCTAAATTCATGCCTAGAATAGCTGAGTTTTTAGTTCCTGCTACTATAAATAGCATCTCTTTTGTAAAATGTATCTCCTAATTATATGTTGGTGGCATACCAAAATAAAATCAATTTTTATATTGATTTTGTACAAACACCTTGCTAAACTTTCATACCAATTCTAATAATTTTCTTGAAAACAGTGTAAGCGTTCTCTGTATGGAATTATATACGCTGTTTTTCTTATCTTCTGGTATTTATAGATTTATCTTATTCATTACTTATGTCTTTGGTATTGAGTAAAACATCAAGAATGTACATTTTGTCTTTTTTCTGGCATTGGCCATTGTGTCTACCATTACTGGTTTTGAGTGGAAACCTTATATCAATTTGGTTCATTTATTTTATTTTTTGGATTGGGTGAGTTTTCACAATGATTAAATTTGAATTTTATCAAATTATTTTTCTGCTCAAATAGAATTTTAGCCTTTTTCTATATTAATTTGTTAATAGATAAATTATATCTGGAGTATATAAATCCTAAAATACTTTGTGTGCTGATAAAATATATCTGGGTCATGCTGCTGTTTTGTTGGGTGGTTTTTCCATTGTTTTTTCACAGGTTGCCTTAATCAATAAATTCACTTTTCTGACTTAGTTTTGGTATCAAAATTATACTACCCTGCTAAAATGAGCTCGTGCATATTTCCTCAATTCTTACTGTGTAAGTGACTACATAGTTTGTAGGGACATATTTCCTAAAAGTCTAGTGAAATTCCCTGTGCAACGCATAGGAGTAGAATTTCTTTATAGCACACTTCATGATGATGTCATTAAAACCATTTCTATGAAGTTTTAGCCTCTAATTTCTCTTTTCCCCATTTTTGGTTGAAACCGTTTACATAACAATAAAATCATAGATCTTAAGAGTGCAGCTTGATGAGTTTCTACAAAATTGTGCAACATCTCCAACAAAATACAGAAGAATCCATCACCCCATGTAGGACATTCTTGCCACTTTTCAGCCAGCTCCGAGTCCAGCCTTCAACAGATAATCCCTCTTGTGAATTCTAGTAGCAAATATTATTTTTCCTCTAAAACTCTGTGATAATAGTGAAATGGCTTGGAGACACGTACATATTGCTGTCTCAGTCATGACAACTTCCTTTCTATTTGTGTGTAAGTTGTTTTTTGTCCTAGGATGGGCTTGAATTTGTTTCTAGTTTAATCATTGTTGTGAATAAAATACCGTGAAGATTCTTGCATATTGTTTGTGAACAAATGCTTTATATCTCTTCGATAAGTACTTGGGAGTAAGACTTCAAGATCACAGTGGAGCTCAATGTTTAACTTCACAGATAACTGCACAATTTCCTTCCAAAGTAGCTGAATCGTTTTAGACTGCTCTGGCAATTCCTCATTTCTGTCATTTAATCTCAGTCTTCTTTTAATTTTAGATATTATGGGTTGTGTCTGTGTGTGTTGTTATTGATTTTATGGCGTTCATTATAGATTGGAGATGGCAGGTGTTTTTCAGATATGTGTAGGGGGGTATATTTTCCCCTGTCTTTTGTTTGTTTCATTCATTTTTAGCTGGTTTTGGGTCAGCAGATTGTTTGTGTGTATGCTTCGAGTCTCAGTTCACAGAAGTACTCTTGCATACTTCCAAGAATTTTTATAATTTTAGCTTTTATATTTAGATCCATGATCAATCTCAACCAGACATGTGGGAAGGAGGGTGTGAAAGTTCTTCTGCAGTCATTTTAGTTTTGCACTGTTTGTATGTAGATACACAATTGCTTCAGCACCATTTGCTGAAACACTTTTCAGATTTTGTTGCATTCTCATGTTTGTTGAAAATGAACTGATTTCCTGTGTGTAGTGTTTCTGAACATTAAGCTGTTCCATTTCTCTATTTTAACTCTAGTGCAATATTGAACAAGAGTGATGAGGGTAGATATCCTTGTCATTATCCCAAGCTTAGAGGGAAATATTTAGTTTTTACCATTAAGTATGATGAATGACTTTTAAAGATATTTAATCTATTTTTTTTTAAAAACAGCTTTATCATGATATAAATCATGTACCATACAACACACCCACTTAAAAGTGTGAACTCTTTGGTTTTTAGCTTATTCACAGAATTGCATAACTATCACCATGATAAATTTTAAAACCCTTTTCATCACCCAAGAAGATGCTCTATAACCTCTCCCAATCATGGCCCATTTTCTCCTCTCCCTACCTGTCTTGTTCCCCAACCCATCACCTGGCAATCACTTAAAAAATATGACATATTTCTTACTGTGTGATCAGTTTCTTTTTTAAAGCTGAATTAGAAGGCAACTGATTTTATTTATTTTTGCCCTTGAAGCTCCCAACACAGTTTGGGTGCATATTAATTTCTTAATATTTTAAATTAATCAATTAATTATAGAGTGCATAACAATCTGGGTCACTTGGTTTTTCAATGTTCCTTAGTAGCTGAGATGTATATACTGAGGACTGCTCTTAATCCACCCTTTACATCCATGTTTTAGGATGAATCAGTAAATTTAATATAAATCCACAATTTTCCACTTAGAGAAACCATTTTTGGATATGTATTGTGTTATTTTTAACTTTTCTTTATATGTTAAGGTCTTTTATTTGCTGATCCTAAGAACAACTCTTACGTAGAGAATGCAAGATTGGAGAATAATTGTCTCTTGTTTTGCCCAATCACTAAATTTATTACAGAATGTTATAGGCATAGGCAATGGTTAGCAAACATAGATATTACATTTCACTTAGAAGTCAATTTCAAGTTTAACACTTTGAAGGTCCATAAACCTACGTTAAAATCATTTTTTCCTGTGTTGGGGAATGAACCCAAGATCCCACACTTGGTAGGCAAGTGCTCTCTACCTTTTGAGCCAGGACCCCAAGTCTTTAGCTATTGTATTTTGTTTCTGAGATAGGGTTTCTCTAATCTGCCTGGCCTGGCCTCATGCACATGATACCCCCTCTTTGCCTCCAAAGTTGCTGGGATCAGGGCCATGTGTTACCACACCTGCCCTCATTTCTGATTTGACAGTCCTCTCAGAGAAGAAAGGCATCTAGAAATTCTGCAGCCCAGTTTGAGTCACCCTAATTTCTTCTCCATGGTTTCATGTGCATGTGTGTGTATGTGTGCGTGAATGTGCAAGTGTGTAAGTGTGCAAGTGTGGATGTGTGAGTGTGTGTGGGGTATTTGTAAGAGTGGGGGGGTGTCATGACCAGTGTGAGAGGGTCCATTGACCTGAATGGGAGTGACTAGGGATTAAGAAAAAGACACAAAGACAGACATAGAGAAAGCTGGGGTTGGGTAGGCCCAGCACTCGTGATGAGAGATGCTGGTGACCCCCTCCATCTCCAACCACATTTATTTATATGCAAGTATGGGAAAGGGGGATGAAGTGCAGGTGGAGGTCTCATGGGTCCAGTCACATAGATGGCAGGAACAGCGCAGCTGTGGCATGTTGCTATTTACTGCAGACTATCCTGACCCAGTCAGCGTGTCCTGTCTTCCTTGCAAGGCAGCCTTGTTGAACCTTGCTTCCCCTTGGCTGGGTCTGTGCCTCTCACCCAAGAGGCCCTTGGCAGAGCTGTGCTCAAGCCTGGGCTACTTCCAGTGTCTCAGTCTCTCACAGGGAGGTGTGGGGGGACTTATGGAGTAACTCTCAAGAGTAAAGTTTGAAAAAAACATAACCTTTCAATAATTTATACTTTTACTATACCTTAAACAGACAATCTATTGATTTTCTTTCCTAGTTCAATTTTGTGGGGAAATTGCTTGGACCAAGAGGAAATTCCTTGAAGAGACTACAGGAAGAAACAGGTGCTAAGATGTCCATCCTGGGCAAAGGATCAATGAGAGATAAAGCACAGGTACTGAACTTTTACTTGATATTGATCATGTGCAGGAAGCTTGCCTGAACATTGGTAATCAATTCATAAGTACCCCGTACTGACCTCCCAGCATTGCCTGTGGCTCTCACCTGTGGGACCACCCTATTAGTCATGGAGGGATCCCCCCTGTCTCCTTAAAAATGTCAGTATTGCCTTTCTTTCCTTTCAGAGCCTATATTCCATATTGTCACTCTCTTTAGTCCTCCGTGTAGGTTGCTGTCAGATCTTTTCACTTCAATCCTCTGTAGAATGTTTCTATATATCTGTGCTCATTTTCTGTAATTCCCTGGATGGATATCTATTCTTTCTTCAACCTTACCCCTTAATCACATCCACCATACCATTTGTTTATTTTAGCTCTCTGTTCCATTTCACTTTGATCCTCTTACATGAAGTAATTTCAAATACCCATCCACAAATCTAAAAGAATCCTGGTTATTTCTTGCCATGTTTCAACGATATTAAACAACTCACCTGACCCCCAAAAGAACAATAAGCCAAGAAATATATCAAGTTTCATTTTTGAGATGATTTATCTCACATCTGAACTGCATCATTTCCTAGCCGATAAAGTGACAGCAATTTCTTTGTGTTACAATTCAGTGTTTAAGAGGGATTTTTTGAAAATTTATTGCAAAGCATTTGATGTGTACAGTGCTATCATTTGACCAGGCTATATTTTTATGGTTTTGTATGTAATTTTATGTTATTATGAAAAATGAAATGTTCACTTATTTGTGACTATGGGGATACTTAGAAAATTGCTTAGGAACTTTACCTTCTAAGTATTAATTAGACATCTTAGATAAAGGGGTTTACAGTGAAAGATGTCACCTAACTGGTGAGTAATATATCACCCATGGAACATTTTATCTTTCTGGTAATAAGTCTCTGTTTAGGGTTTGAACAAGACATCCCATATGGTACTTTTGAAAGAATGGTTCAATAGTCAACTCTATGAATTACAAAAGTGATAATTTTGCTGGCATTTATTCTGGGTAACTTTTGTGTTTAGTTTCAGGAACGACTAGGTTCTTGTCTATCCCTCATCTCTATTTCTCTGGCTCCATTTAGAAGAACTATTACAAGTTTTTAACAGTATCTAGTGAATAGATAAGCTTTTGCCATCTACTACAAACCAATTTAGAGTCTCTTTATAGCTGAGATGGAAAATGACATATCAAATCTATGTCAGTACTCCCATATTCTGTCTTTATATTCTCCAAATATCTCACATTCTTGCATTACAAAGTTTCTATTGTTTGCTTTTATAAGAGTCTTAAACACACCTTAAGGTTTCAATCAGGCGTCGTCTCTGGGCAGTTTCTCTGGTCTCCTGTAATACCCAACTACTCCTTTAACACTTAATATGATTTACTGAATTACCTGTTTATCTCATTCAACTGAAGCTGGAGAAATGTCCTAGTCAACTTTCATATTGGAAACCTCTATGTTGGCACTTCCTGTGCTCTGAAACAGATAGGTTTATATTTTTCATCCCTATGTATTTGGACACTTTTTCCTGTTCATACATTTTAAATTGGATTCTTTTTTCCCTATAAGTATGTTCGGTACCAGCATAAGTATTTGAAAATCCAACAAGAAGCAAATGTGCTTCGATTAAGCTCCTCCTGGGTTTCACTCACTGATGCCACCTATTACTTCAGTTTCTGCTCCTCATTACATTTTGGGTGATCCATCATGTTTGACTGTGCATTGAGTGTTTTCATTTTTCTTAACAATGTAAAATAAAATGAGAATATTTGATAATGATAATAAAAACACATCATCCTGTAAAACACATTTTCTCAAATCTAGATTTGGCTCTAACTGTCAAAAGTACTAGACACACTGCTGAAATGAAACCACAGATGGGCATGAAATTTTACCTAGGAAGCGCTTGACTAAAATAAATATAAATCCTTGTAAATTATTGATGACTATGCTGCTACTTTGACTGTCTGGAACATGACTAGAATAGAAAGATTTTACATGATTTGATTTTTTATACTAAGTTAATGAAACTCAGCTGGTTCTGCCGTGGAAGTCTTGCGTGTTGCACGTGGACAGTCATGCAAGTTGACAGATATTCATGTGTTAATGTATTTGTTGATGATACTCGTTGTCACTCACAGCTTACAGTAATAAAAATGACCAGGATTCTCACTATTAGATATTGTATTCCAATGGGAGAGATAGACAATAAATAAAGGAATAAAGTTTTACTTTCAGGCATTGATAAGCTTTATGGATTGAAATAAAGTGGGAAGGGAGAAGAAGCAAATGATCCCCATGGGGTAAAACTTTAATGTAGGAACCAACAAAGAAAGACCAGAATGAAAGTGTAAATGCCAAGTGTGAATCGGCACCTTTATTTACAACCATACATGTCACGTCCATACCTATTGGACAGCCAAGCCGTGTCACTATTTAATCACTTCTCCTCCATACCACCTGATTTCTTAGCTCACCTCAGGGTTAGGGTTCAAGTTAGCCAAACTCACGAAAAACTTAGTCACAATCACTATTTCGCTCCATTCTTCACCCAGTCCCTCTCCCCAGTGCCCAAGACCTGACTGTCTTCCCTTCCCAGTTTCCTGAGGCCAGAACTTGATGCTTGGACTCTGTCCTCCTGCACAGTCTGATGCTATTTATGTGCTTCTGAACCTAAAGCTACTGTCCAGCCTCTAAGCGCTCTTTAAGCTTTAAAAGCTACCTTTATGTATTTACCTACTCCTTGAAATGTCAATGTGGGTAAAAAGCTCTGAAACATGTCCACACACACACACACGCTAGTGCACACACAAACTCACATGCGTCTCCTTGAGTAAACATCAGCCGGGCTCCTCTCAGCCTCTTCTCAAGCAGGCCTGACCATACAAAGACAGAAAGATTAGCGAGGTTTATTAAAAGTGCACAGCATCCAGCAGAAGGAGATCAACAATGAACTGTACATCTTTGTCACAGTCTATTCAGTTAAGAGATAACTGGAGTATTTTGATGCATTTCTTAGGCTCTTACAGGCAAAGCTCAGGTCAGCAGGCCCTTCCTGTGTCCAGTTGTCAAAAAATATGATGTAACAGTTGTTTAGCAACCTTAATGCTGATTGTTTCTCTGTATTGTGTGTACTGTTGGGGTGCTACACAGTATGTCTAAAACTGGGTCCTTACCTTGTCAAAGAAGGGGATATTTGCAGAGTCATCTAAGTCAAGAAAAAACTAAACAAAAAGATTTATTCCCTATCAGCCATGTGCTCAAGAGCAGATTCAATACTATGCTATATAAGAGTATCAAGCCTGACTCCAACCTGCGCAAAGCCTATAATTTAATGAAACATCCTGACCTGTTTAACGTTTCTTTAAAAATAATTAAGAACAAGTTGAACACTTGGATTAGTAGAAGGATGGAATGACAGACTCATTTAAGTTTGCATAGATCTAAGTAATAATTTGTTCTTTTGATAGAAGAATATGAGGTTAAGATTTATTACCAAATCATTATAAAATTGACTATATCATTTAGAAAATACTTTTAGTGTGTGTCATAAGAATACTCAACAAGCTTAATGTTTTATTTGTGTTATTTTATTCTTGGTGATTATGGAGAGCCTTTACTTTTTGTTTAGTTACACTTACCCAATAACTCTGAAAACAAAGAAAGGTAACAAAAACAAAACAAAACAAAATGTAGTATTATCTTATGTAGCTCCAGTTATTTCCTGTCTTATAGTCATGAGTTCTTTCCAGATTGATCAGATCCCAAAATATATGCACTCACTTTCTACCTAAAACTGACAAGCAATGCTCAAACAAAAGACAAATTTTTAATTGTGAGGGTGAAGTGATTGTTGGAGAAATCTAGAAAGTAAAATCTAGAAAGTCACTATGGTGACACTGTTCAAGATTCCTAAAGAAACTAACAGTTCAGAAGTTTCTTTAAAGTCTGTCCTTCACATATCACACAAGCAGATGATGTGAATAACTGCAGCTGACAGCCTTCTAGCCATTCCTTCTGTAGCTTCAGAGACAGTGATGCTCTTTTAACATTGTTGATCACACATTTTGGTGAGAGAGAATGGAGCAAGCAGTGATCCTATAAGCTTATGTTTGGAAGGGGTGAGGTGTAAACCCCCATGAAGAAAGGTTAAAGAAATCAGACAGTGGCCAGGCACCTAGACCAGAGTGAGGGAACAGAAGCACACGGAACCAGATTTTGTGCAGACTCTCCCCTCAACCTGAAATGGAAATCACAAATGGCCGTGAAATTAAATTATATGGTAAGGGAAGGCACTTTGGCCTTTCTTGTAATTAATTATCTTGGTTGGAATTATGGAATGTGATCTTAAAACATGCTATCTATTGTATGTTGAAAGTTCAGTGCTGTTTGGTGTAGTTTTATTTGAAAACCTGTGATAATTCTCAAGGCAAGCTTTTCTGTCTTTGATGTGCTAATAACATGTGCAGTTTCTGTTTTTCAATATATCTTCTGTATTTGGTGATGGCTACTTTAGTAAATCTTTTCTGATTTCATGACAAGATGGATTTTCATCAACAATAAAATCAACTCTAAACCTTTCTAAACCTTCAAAGAGAAGTGGCTGCCTGTTGGGCAGTGTGGGTGTGAAACCCATACCATCCATCCTTCTCTCATTTGGCTTCTGGGCTCTGTCTAACATCAAACGCTCTTATAGTCTTTCAAATCCTGAAGGGGTAAAGCCATGCTCACTGCTTGTCAATCATGCTGTGATTGGTTACATACACTCCTGCTTCAACTCTTTAATATCTGGAACACCAAAGCAATTTATAATCCTACAAAATCAAGAGCCCAGACACTTCAACTTTCATTCTAGCTGTGCCCCTAATAAAGTATATTTCTTTCTCAGATTCCTTTCTGTAGTAAAGAATCCTTAGTTCATCTTGACCTCTAGCAGACATAGCAAAATCAGCACAATGATTTGCTTAAATATCACCTGTTTGTGA